GGTTTCAGGGTAATACTTACTTGTTTGTGCAAACTTCTCCAGGGCTATTAGTGCAAAAAGCATCACTGTCGGATGGGACTGGAAGTTCTAAATATGGGCAGTAAGAGAAGTTATTTAATAAATATCCAGCACAGAGGGATAGGAAAAGCTGTCAGTCTGTCACAGAGTGCTCTAGGTTGAAAGGGACTTCCAAAGCTCCTGTGAAGAGCTGGTTGGAGTAGATGAGGCTGCTCAGTGCCTTCTCCTATTGACTTCTCATTATCTCCAAGGACGGAAACTCCACAAACTCTCTGGAATCTCAGTTTTCTATAACATACGTTATCAGTATTTACCAAACATGACCCTAACTTTTCACACTAATAATGAAATTTATTTTTTAATGGAAATCACTATATATGGATACATACAAAAAGATTGAAGACACTTACCAAGCTGTGAAGTAAATATTCCAATATGCCTGGGCTGAGTAAGCCTATACTCGCAGGACCTACAGGAACATGAAGAATTAAATCCGTCCATGGGAACTACCATATTCTCGTTGCATAGATCTTTTAAACACAAGGCAACAAACTAAAGAACATCTAAGAACTTTGCAGCAAAGCAAACTATAATATAGAATTATCACTGTTCCCAGTCAAGTATTTTCTACATATCTAATAAACACACTGTTACTGGCAAATTACAAACATTTGCTTTCCCTGCTGTAAGTGGGTACTGAGTTCTAGCCACACTTCTGAGATTTTGAAGTAAGACTCCACCAGCCTCTGCTTAGAATTTGCATGCTCGTTACTTTCAAAAAAGAGAGTGGCTCCCCTTTACTTCTTGAGTCAAAGGATACAGACCAGCTCCATTGACCAGTAGCCCAAAAAAAGCAAAACCGAGCATCTGATATCGTCTACTTGATAGTTAATTATACAATTTGCAGCAGCACCACAGCAAGCAGTTGATTTAAAAAAAAAAAAAAATCTTGAAATACTGTGTGCTTAATCAAGAGACAGATACAAGTGACTCAAACTCTACGAATTCTAACAAATTGCAATGGGTTCCAACGCAGCATTCACTGAATTGCTGCCTGAGCTGATAGAATGGGGTCTGTGTCCACTAAGAGGAAAGTGGATACAGGATTGCATTCTGACTTAGTATAACAGGGGAGAAGTATTACAGTACAAAAATGCTTCCTGCCCTCGTTCTTTAAATTTTTGACAGAAATATTGAAATTGTTGTTTAATAACCATTAGGTGATACTGGACGATCACTTCTTCCACCTTTTCCTGCCTGCTTTCAGAAAAGGAGTAAAAAAACCTAGATACAAACCCTGCAGGAAGGAAACTTAATCATCAGTTTCCAGCAGGGTGCTAGAAATGACAGGGAATAAAAAGTTCTGTACAAAAAGTCACCCTAAAATAGAATCACATTTTTTTTTTTTTTTAAGTAACACAGAAGAGAGAATCTTTTCAGCTAACTACAATAGAACAGTACATGTTTAGCAGGAAGAGCATTTTTCTTTTTTGTTTCTATACAGCCTCCAAGCCTGCTCATTTGATACTCCTGCCTGCTGGCTACAGAACTGTGTCCTCAGCCATTCACATACAGCCAGAGCAGGGCTTCAGAAAGACTGATCACCAGTGCTAAGGCAATACACCAAAAACACACTGATCCACAATCCCATGCATCAGAAGGATTTGATCTTTTTAAGTATTTGGGATTGTGAACAGCTCATTCAGACCCAAGCTAGTGAATGTTCAACATTTTAATCAAGAAGTAGATTCTGTCACAGAAGGTCTCCCCTCAATGCAGAATATTATTCAGTTCTAAGCAAACAATTAAAAAAACTAGTCTGCATCGTGGGCGCCACAGCAGAAGGTGCCTCAGTGAGCCGAATGCAAGCTTACAGAAGAATCCCACGGCTTTACCTGCTAGCTTCTCTGCTAAGCAGCCCAGCACTGCCGTTGTATTCCGGTGTCTGGCAGGGTGACAAGCATCCTGGCAAGCAGCAGCTCCACTTAAGTTTAATATTTCAGTTAACTTTTGTAATGCATCCTGAAAAACAAAAATCAGAAATCTCTTCAGCGTTACTGGTAGATACAGTTTTCCCTCTAACTCAATATAGGACAAATTATTTTTGTGCTATATTACTGAAGTCAGCATGATATTACAGACAGCATGGGATGGTTATCTTCCAAGATAAGAATACCGATACCAATCAGCAGATACAGCACTACTGCCATCTCATCTGTTCCTAGTGTCCTAAAACTGGCACCCTTGTGAAAAGGGCTAGTTTAGACTTTAAAATTCAAGTCTAAAGAGACACGCCCCAAAAAATGAGCCTACATCACCACTGTAAATTTAGGATGCTGTCAACTTTACAGGATGTCACAAATAGTATTCTTGAGAGCATAAATGGCTTTCTGTAGTCGCGCTAATTTAGGAAGTAACCAATCAGGGTAATAAATCTAACATGCCATGCTTTGACTTGCTTCATTCAGGCAGTATGGTACAGATAAAATTCAAGATAGATCAAGAGCATATCCACCATTTGTGGAGTAGTTAAGGGGTTAACCTAGAGCCAGAACAACTTATCCTACAGGGATAACCCCCGCCCACAAAGTTCTAAATCCCCCTCAACTTTCCCAACTTCATGGAAGTTTTAGCTGATTCAGATTGAAACAGCATCATCTCAGGCTAGGATCTAATTAAAACAGAAGAACGCCTCATATTGAAGTAAGCAGGAGGCCACTTGTAGAAAAAAATAGTACTGCTCAAGCTGGATATAGATCTTACTTTGAATTGTGTCTGAGCACACTCAAATCAATTTACTGCACTAGAGTCTGAGGTTTGTAGGGAGGTAACACTGAAAAGTAGTTATGTTCCCAAAAGAAAAGCCACAAAAGGTTCAGGTTGCCCAGAGAAGCTGTGGATGCCCCATCCCTGGAGGGGTTCAAGGCCAGGCTGGATGAGGCTTTGGGCAACCTGGGCTAGTGGGAGGTGTCCCTGCCCATGGCAGGGGGTAGGACTGGGTGATCTTGAAGGTCCCTTCCAGCCCAAACCAGTCTGGGATTCTAAAACCAGAACTGATGAACAGAACTAATGCTAAGTGTAAAGAACAGAGAAAGGATGACTGAGCCACAGACTTAGGATGGAAAAGCCTCACTAAAATTAGACTCCTGACATACTCTGATACTGCCCTTAGCCATTATTAGAACTGCCAGAGATCAACTATTTTGAGTTCAATAAAGCCTTTACAGAATAAACAGTTTACTGGACTGCAGTTTTAACTTTATGGACTTTACAGCCTACAGTAACAGAAAATGAAATACAGCCTGCCGCCGTTCTCCAGCTGTCACAGAAGCGGGGCACTGACTTAAACCCCTTAAGACCAAAAACTTAAACTTACACTGAATAGAAATCAAATGAACAGCAGCAAACATTTAACTAGGCTGCACGTGACCAGCAGATCCCACAACTGCAGCTCCTTGTGCTGCAAAGAGATGACACAGGAGAAAAACTTCTGTGCACTCCAGAAACAGGCATCTTATCCCTGTTGTCTTCCTAAGGCAAACTATTTCACAGCTAACCCCTTAAAATTAAAGTACCCAAATAAAAGTCACATGGCTTTCAAAAAACAAATCATTTGATTGCCGAGTATGTTGCATAGCTGAACAAAAAATATAAAATCACTCTTCATGGGGCATGTTCACAGGGGTCTTCACTTCCTGAATTCTTTTTCAAAGCAGGCAAAGTTCCTAGTCTTGGCTTTGTTTTCAAAATCGTTTTGCAGTCTGTGTGACAGTCTATATAACATTTAACTTGTTCAGAAGTCTCAGATGACTTTAATCAATAGCCTAAAGAAAAAAAAAAACCCACTTTGGGTGGTTAGAGAGCTTGGCTAGCTCTCCAGCCACTCATGCATTGACGTAAGACAAAAAGCTACCAGCTTTTTATACTCCTAACAATGCCAATTGAAAACTAAAATTGTCAGCATCAGAAAATGAAAGCTGCGATGGTATCATCATCAATTTCTGATGAAATGAGATAATGATAAGCATTTGAAGACAGACAAATCCTCTGCACAATCATCCCGTTTAAAGGGTTTTAACAATGGTGAGCATGCTGAAGCACCCGAGGCCCTCACTAAAACACCCGCACCAACACAGTCTGAACACCTTGGCTCATCTCTCCACCCGAAAACTAGATTAGTGGTCAGTAAAAAGCAAAAAAGTATTAAAATTTGCCAAAATTGGATATTTCATAGTTAAAAAAATGTAATTTCCTTCACTTCACACAGCCACTTGCGTTGCATTCCTTACGTGCAGGGCAGGAGCGAATTTAACAGCGACTTGTAAATGCGCAGCTTTCAGCACTTGCCAACAAAACGGCAGAACTGGTACTGCTTTTGCAGCATCTGTACACCCCCACTGCACGTGATGGCAGGAGAGGACAGCAATAAAAGCAGCTAAAGACCAAAGGCCTCTTCTCCTTCCCCACTGACCAGATTTTTTTTTTCTTCTTTTTTTTCCCTGCAGTGCTTCTGGCTTTAAGTAGCCATCAGATACCAAGTCACCACAAATGACTCAAAGTTCCAAGTTACACCCATTTTCTGAAGAACTAACAGTCTTGCATCACCGGTGAAACCCACCAAGAAGCTATCATGGGTGCGGCAACCACAACTAACTGAAATTCAGCCACACACAGATAAGTACATATGCCTTAGACTCACTTTTGTTGGCAGCGGACATTCATCAAGTAGTAGTGTTATAACAGCTGGTCCCAGGGGATCTTCTAATGGAATAACTCTAATTAAAGATTGGACAACTTCCAACCAGCCTTCATCTGTCAACCACAAAACAGAAGTAACGCTCAGAATGAACGCTTCCATTCAGAAGTGTTCAAAATACATCCAGTGTTCAAAATACATCCATAAATGCAAACTGAGAAATCCTCAACATTACCCAGTGAGTTTACAAGACACCAGAGAAAAGACACCAAAGAAAAAGTTTACTTTTCACATCAATGTCTTAGTTTGCACTAGTTGAGAAGTTTAAATTCAAGCAGAAAAATAAATTTACAGCAGCTTGGGTAAATCTGCTGTTTGGAGAACAGTCCTGCCCAGGCCAGAGCATCCTTTAGTTCCCACTAGGATTAGGAAGGAACACTCATGACCAGTATGGACAAGCACTTTGTCCCAGTGGGATACTCAAGACGAGTTCAGCCCAATGTCAACTCTCAAGTGCTAAATGCCGTATCCATGATAACACTGAAGCAATATTTCCTCTTGCCAGTGGAAGAGCACTCTTCCTGAGTTCCCTCAGGTACCACAGACCTGAGAGGAACTGCATTAGCTTGTCCCATGCCTGATGGTCTACAGAAAATTTGCTTTTATAAGGAACAAGACAATGAATAGACAAGGGCTTCTACTTGGAAGTAAACAACTATCCACACGTAAGATGTTAAATTACTAATAAACAGATTTGGATTTATGAAAAACCAGTTCCCTTAGAAGTAAAAATAAAGACAGAGCCTGTATCTGCCTACAAGTGAGTGAGGTTGAAGAGACTTGGCGCTCCCTTCAACAACGACAAGTAAACGTAACACACTGGTGTCTGAGTTTTGTTAGCACACGCCCTCGAAAAACATTTTCCTGAATTGCTGTAATTTCTAATCGGGCTGATTAATTTATTTTGATATAGAAATACATTTCTTAAGACCAGTACCAACTCTACTGAGAGAGACAAAAATTCACCTGAACTAGAAATTTGGTGGGGGTCTTGAGCTGGGAGAATTTCTCCTACTGTGACAACGACAAAAAAACAGCCCTTGCACAACCACAGCTCAGCTTGCAGGAGTACTCAGGGACAAGGTTGGAACAACTACATCATTAAAGGTCTAAGGGCAGCAAAACCCAAGACAAAATATGTACTATTTGCCAATGCTGGAGCACATTGGTTTAGCCCGTGTCTGCATACATATATGGGTTGTTTCTGCCTTACCGTAAGCAGACATTCTTTGTGGCTTAGGGTTTAATGCCGTTACAGTGTGTTTGTGGCCATCCATTGGCTGCTTCTGGAGAGTTCACATCAGAAGTTTAATGGAGTTTAAAAAAAAAAAACCTTTGGCAAATGCAATGAGCTCAGGGAAATTTCTGAAGGGCAGAAGTGTGTTTTAGATCCCACATCCCTAGAGCTACAGCAAGTCGTAATAGATACTGCTAGAGTATATTTTTCTTCGCATAACAAAAAAAGGGATTTTCTTTTTTTTTTGGCTTTGGAGTCACAACTGAAATGCCCACCACAGTGCTTTGATACCTGTTTCTGCCATTTCATGCAACGTGATCATTGAATAAGGAGGCTCCTGGTCACTGAAAGAGATATGGCACAGGTCAAAATTGATGCACAATCATCAACATAATACACCAAACAAAATGCTAATACACGGACAGAAAATGAATCCAGCAAATATTAAACAAAAGGAAGTTACATAGGCTGCAGACTGTCGTTTTCAGACCTGAAACACGATGGGGTTTGAGGCTTTTCCTGGCTCAAAGTCAACACACCTGCACATCTGCAATAGCTGATAAATGAAACGGTGATACGTAGCTGCATGTCTAAAAGCTGAACAATGCTCAGGCACAGTGCTGCTCATTAGCAGGGTTCCTTGGAGTACGCAACAAGAGATGATATGTCAGAGGTCAGGAAGCGAATGAAGAGCAGTGCACAAGGGACACTGCTCAAACATGATTTTTTTTTCCCCGCAGAAATTCTCTGCTAAATATATAAAAGAAACCCCACAAAACAAAGCCCAGCCACCTAACAGCATCGTAGACTTCAAACTCATTAACCAGAGCTGTACAAAACGGTTAAGGCAGTTTAACAGAAGACATTTAACTCAATTCCCTTTCCAACAAGTAAGAAGTTCAATTAGATCAGTTCCTCAAGCTGATTTGACAGACCAATGGTAAGAACCTATGGCCAGTGCTTATCTGAGCAGGCACTGCCGCAGAAAGGACCTAAAGCAAGATCTCAAAATCCTATTGAGTAAGCATCTCCAGGTCCAGAAAAAGCTTCTGCAGCAGCACGTCCCAAGTGCTTTATTCAGGGCTCCTGAGGCGTTGTGAACTACGCCCAGGCTTCAAATGATATGATCCACACTCCACTTCTATCACACACCTCTGAAATGAAACCAGAAATGCTAAATACAGATGACTTTTAGAAAATTTCAACACAGATTAATCATGCAGATAATAAAGTTACCTACTTTGGATGGATTAATTATAAAAGAGAAAAAAATTTCAGTTTTAATTAAAAAAACCCATAAAGATTAAAATACATGCCTGTCTTAACCAAAAAATTAACACTCTCAAATATTTACAAAAGAAAATGCTGAAGTTTAAACACTTTTATATTGCCATCATATTGCAAACAAATATTCCCCTCCACATTCGTTTGCCTTTCTCCTGGAAACTAATATCCCCATCAGGAAAAAGCAGTGCAATGACGTAAGCAAAATGACCTCCAGAGAAAGGATGTAAGGACTCAGAGAAAGAAAAAAAAAAAAAATCCTAAGCAAAAGCTATGATAAAAAATGGGGACATCTTTATCGGCAAGATTTCTGGGTCTGCCATGGGTAGCAGGTGTTAGCAGTACTGGCACTGAGGAAAGGAGAGGTCTGTCCCACTGATTTACCATTTTAACATTTCCAACCATCCCCACCTTCCTCGTTTGGAAACAAATAATTTTGTTAATTTCTTAATTTGTAAAGCAGCACTTCATATAAACTCCAAAAATCAGTACTCATGCTTCTGAGGATAGAAAATGAAACCTAGCTCCTTTCCTTCTAGAAAGGAGTTCTCTCTAGATCTGAGAGGAAAAAGCAGTTGGCAGATATGTTTTGGGTTCAAACTTTGAGATCTGATAAAAAAAACAAACAAAAAACCAGCAAGAAACCCCAACCAAGCAGCAAACAGGGAAAGCAACTGTTCATTGCAGATCACAGTATAACAACTTCATTTATGATTCATCTCAGAGTGTCCCCAAGTATTAACTTTCAGCACAGAATTTGGAAAAATAGTTGTCAGAAAAAGGGTTTTGCCTTCCATTCTTTAGACTGCTATCCTTTGATTTTAAGGCTGTACCTATCACACTGAAGCCCATGTATGCAACCTGCTGTCACTTAACGTGGTTTCATTTTAGTTTCACTTTATTCTTGCACATTTTTTGACATTCATCAGCTTCCTTACTGTTTCTTTCAGTTGTGGTGTTTTCAAAACAAAACAAAAAAACCAGTCTCCAGGAGGAACAGGTAATAACAGAACATACTTATTCCTACAGTCTTAAAAAAAAAAAAACCCCGCGTCTGGAAATCTTGTTTTTTTCCAAGTAATCATTCCTATGACTCTAAAAAGGGCTATCATTAGCTTCAAGTCTAGGAGGAAGACTCCTTGAATTTTTTTCAGACACATTTAGATAGTTTTCCTGGTGAACAGACGCCTCCATTATTCATAGCCGGAGGTCTCTGTCTTATCTTCAACAAGCTGGAATATGGAGCTGATTTGTAAAACCAGCCGTGTCCTACCTGCCTTAATATGAAACCAGGGAAACCAGTATACCAGTACAGCCCACGTGTGGGCTCCCCAGGATGAGAACAGCATTGCTGTGAGTGTTCTAGCAGAAGGCTGCTGAGATGGTGGAGGGCTAGAGAACACAGCATACAAACACAAGCTAAGAAAAACAGATTTGTTCATCCTTAAGAGGGGGAACAGGAGAGGAGGGGAAATCTTCTTGCTGTCTGCAACTACGTAATGGGAAAGAGCAGAGAAGATGGACCCAGGCTCTTCTCACTGGTGCACAGCAACAGGGTAAGAGGCAACAGAGGAGTGTTGGAACATGGGACATTCCAACTTTTAAAAATATTTACTTATTTCAAGCAATGGGCGTGGTCAAACACTGGAAGAGGGACCCAAAGACACAGAGAATCTCCATATTCTGAAGGTGTTCAACACTTGACTGGGTAAGACCCTGAGCCACCTGCTCCAGCTAGAGCTGGGTTTTAAGCAAGAAGCTGGAGCAGATGAACTTCTGGAGGTCCCTTCCAACCTGTGTGATTATGCGAGTCTAAAAAAGTATTTCACTGGAGCCTGTATTAAAAAAAACCCCAACAGTAGCCTCAGGAATTTGTCAGAAACAGGACTCCAGGATCAGTGAAATAACTACGCTTATTGTCCCTCAGTAGCATAGGAAAGCGCTTACAAGATTACAAAATCGACAGCAAGACCCACAGGAACAGGATGAACTATGCACAAAAGCATTGTGAAACAGCTTAAGGAGCTGAACGTAGGGGAAAGGGGAAGGCA